TGATGTCACACTGACGCATCCCTCGTCTATGAATACAATAAATTGCCTGTGGGCAGAATTTAAGACGGTATGCTTTACAGATAAGATGTCTTGTCAGACTATTTTGTATAGATTATTCTTTTATACTTGCTGCATTGTGCGTAAAAACCGCATTTTCAGAAAACCTGAGAAAGCATAACTGAAAAGTTACATTCCACCCGTTTCTATATACTGGGCATGTATGTAAACCTAGTTTTCTATGTTGTTTTCTACAAACTTTCCTTATATTTGCAAATATCACATTTTGAGAGAAGTTTGCTATATTGAGAAATTAACAAACGATATATTGATAGTGATGTCATCAGCTGAAACTGTCTATAATCTCCAAAATGTATCACAATCTATACGCAGTTTTTGTCTCATTGTTGCTCATTCAGACATTCTTTCCAGACATTCCATCCAATCTTCTAGTTGATCATCACCTCTGCCATTAAGTCATCAAACTAGATTAATTAAGGATGACATCAGAGAGGAGCATATCCTATTCTGGTCCCGTCAGTAGCTCGTAGTAATCGCTCTATCTACGGTAGCAGACAAATTATGAGCTTACGATGGGTGGTGAGACAATGATTTGAAACTGTCCACGTGACAACAACGGACCAATCATCACTCAATTAAAGATGGCGTCTCACCTGCTACGGGCTGTCCCTACTTCCCACGTTTGAATAAACTCATTTAGGTTAAATATTATGACACGTGTAAAGAGGAGTCATTGCCACTCGGTGCAAAGGAGCCTATGAATTGGTAGTGTTTTGTGGGTTAATCAAATTAGAGCCCTGTGAAACTGTTGCCCATACACTAGTGACTAGATCAAACTTGATTTGACCGTCAGCCTCTTCGCATACAATGCTATGAAGTTATCCTAATCCTTATGCATGGCATGTAGCGTAACTGGACTTATAAACGTTATGTTTCATCTGTTTCGTCGCTGCTTTAGTTTGTTTGTTTTAATTATTTGGGTTTTATTTTTATTTTTCTTTAATTTTATCTTAATTTAATCTTTTTTAAATTCAGGGATGAGATTTGATAATGTCAATGATACTACTGATCCAGTGATCCAGATTTGGTCCATTCTGATCGTCATCTATCATCATTTAAGCTGGACTGAGTAACTTGGCGGAGGACTTCGACCTTGCCTATTAGATTTACAGAAATCTAATTATTTTTACCCACCCACTTCCTTTGAATACATTCCAAATATGCTTGAAATATGTTAAAGGCTCCATTCAAAGTTTTAAAATGCTATTTCTAGGGAACCTGAATCATGCGTATTTATATTTCTTTAATATAATCATAGAATTATACAGTTCGGGGGAAAATTTATGTATGGTGACTATCTTTCAGTTAGTCATAACGACGTAGAATATCAAAACTTGAAATACATGTATACTGATATATCATTTCCGATGAATTTCTTCATTTGGTGTTTGTTTTCTTTCTCAAGTCCATTGTCTTGCTACGTTTTATTTCTAAATCAAAACATGAAAATACTGCAAAAATTAATTATTATTCTAAAAATATAAACATCACAAACTTTATAGTATCAATGGCGTTATCCCAAGTCATGAATTACAACGTATGTCTTATCAGTCAGTCAAATCTGCTTTAGTGACCACCTTTATAGAAAGACCACCTTTTTGTAAAGATTTTGGGGGGTTCCCCTCGAGCAGAATTTCCCATTGAAACCTCTATTAAAGGAACCTGTACAATAAAGACCACCTCATCATAATACATCTGTTAATAAATTGTCTTTGTTAATTAGGGTTCGATATATTTGATTCATTTTTCGTATTTGACTAAAGGGTTATTCTGCCTTCATCCTTTGCAGCACGTATATGGCTTTCTTATTGATCACTCATATTTTTAAGGAACTCATAACTACATTTACTTCCCTCGGAGAGAGGACCTAAAGCCGTCGGTCCTCTGGTTGCTTACTAGCAAGCATTCATGCTTTCTAAGCAGTCATATCAACCACCACTGCTACTTTTTAAGCTTTCACGAGCTATTCGTATTGAAAGATGTCCATGTACTAACTGTGTTGGTCACCCTGCTAAACTATATTGGCCTATGGGCGACAGAATGGACATTCGTCAGTGGGGATATTGGCAATCACACACACCTATCAGACGTTTAAAGGACCCCTAATCACATTTCACGGGGAGGGGTTAATATTTCAAGGATGATGTATCGGGAGGGGTGATATGAGAGTCATTTAACTCAGAAGGTCATGACCCTCTTGCACAGAGATTTACAACAATGTACAAATCAATAGCAAATATATAGAATCAACCAATCAAAACCAATGCGCGAATTGTGATTTCTTCAATGAACCAATCAAGATTAATTTGTCATTAGTGGCTGGTATAATGGAGTGTCCTGATTGGCTCCTGATTTTTGTTTTGAATGCTGCAGTGCCCTGGATCTGATTGCAAGGGTATAACCAAATTTTTATAATAACAAATTAGTTCGGCTTATATCGGAACATTGTAAGCTACGTCTAACTAGGTTGGTGACACAATGGTATTGAAAATTCAGTGTAAGTTAGGCAAAAAAAAAATACCATTTCGAACTCATGGTGTAATATTTCATAATCCGACACGTGAATGGACACTCAAATCTTGGCTCTTTTCTGATAACCACAAGTACGATAATACCATGGTGTGTAGTATTTGACATAACATCCAGTATGCCAATTATTCCTGCTTTAATTCACCAAACCTGTACCTTCGTCAAATCTGTCTTCCAAAGTTAGAGATAGAAATTCATATATAATCTTCTCCTTCATTCCTCGTAAATTTTATCAAAATAAACTAAGATGTAATCGCAGATAATTAAGTTTGGGATTTTTTTTTCGTATGTGTCCTTTATCAAAGTTTAAACATTAATTCCATTACAAGCAAAGTAGCCCGTGAGTCAAGACAGATGTTTTGGGGGATATACTCGTACATTAATATTCATTATAGTCTCTCTGAAGGAAGAGGGGAGCACTTAAATTGTATCATTTAACGCCTTTGAAGATGATCAAACGGATAACAAAATCTTGCTGGATCTTGTTAAATGGTGTTGATATATTTAACACAGAGATGATACAGATTCGAGGGGAAAAGGAGTCAGAAAGTCGGGAGGCTCTGGCCAGCTGATACACCGATGTCCGAAGTATTGTACTTGAATGGTATGTGTACAGAACGGCAAATACTGCATTCTAATCCAAGATTCACAATCATATTTTTTCTGACGACATAATCCTAGTCATTAATGGACATGAAACATTTACTCTCGAGTTGTGCACCTCCTCTCACCGTCAACAACCTTAAAAAATGTCACAAAACAATGTATCAGATGATGGCAAGCCAAATGCCCAATGTTCATGTCGAATAACCAGGTTCATCTTTCGATATGCAGAGTTTTTTTCTCAAAAAACTTATATAGTTTATCGACGATAATCTGAGTTACTCATTTGGCTTGCCATAAGGTCGTCTATAAGAACGCGAATGAAGTCGATGTTTAGGATTAAAGTGGTACCGTGCTTTGATTTTAGGCCCTGATAAGGTTTAGGGTTAGGGTTAGTATTTGATTCCGGTCTGAAGTAAGGAAATCGGACATTGGCAGAAATTGACAACAGAGAGTAATATTCGTTGGAGCATGTATAAGGTACTTCCCATGTAGACTTTTCTAGGGTTGTTTAATGAGACCGAGTGCTAAATTGGCGCCTTCTAACTTAATCAGGAAATCAGATTTCCTTTCAAGAAAACCGAACTTTCCTGATTGTAAGCAGACCATGCTTTGGGGGCAAAGTGACTGTCATTTTCCCAATTTTCTATGGCATGTCGATGTGTAAACACACTTTAGATTGACATGTTGGTTAGAGTTTTGTATCAATTAAAATGACTAAAAATTGTGTACCACGCACAGTTGCACACTAAAAGGATGATCGCTAATTATACTATCGAACGTAGCTTACCGCCCCATATAAGAAAATGAATAAATAACAAAGAAGAGCAGGAAATAATAAATAAAAAGGAATAAAAAGGAATAATAAAGGAAGAAAATATATAGAGACATGTTGCAGAATGGGAAATAATGTATATACGTTGTTTAACAAGGAAAATTATGATGTTATCGTTCCGCATTTGGAGGACACTCTTTGAAAAAAATTATCTTGCCGTTTATCACTGTGTTGAAAGGGCGAGTTTTATGATATGTGTTTTTATGCAACCGATTGCAAAGAGTACTATGAACAGTTGCACGTGGGAAGATGTGGAACTTCTTGGCAGACATTTATCAGCACAAATCTTATTTCCATTCTATATCCGAAATCATGTCACAAACTATGTTTTAATGTAATACAGCTGGGCGTTGACTTTCCGTCTGGCCATGCCAAAATGTTACTCTTGTCCACTCCTTTCTGGACCTTTACTTCAAAATCAAATAGTATTATCATGTAGTAACTCAATCTGTGTTTGCCTTTTTTCTGGATGACTAAGCGATTTCTTTTTCAAAGCCAATTGAAGTATTTCTTTACATCATTTCTTTATATTGGCATAAGGAAATTGTGATTTATTCGAATTAATGAAGAAGTGCAGGTGTATATTATAATCTACATAATGATCAGGAATATGTATCAGGACAACTTTTCCAAGGACAAGTTATCCCCGGACAATCAGTTCCAGAATATTTGTCGGCTCATGACAATAATGCCCGTACAACATCCCATTGCCACCAGTTGCAGCAGTCAGAGAAGGCTAGGTGGAATTATATTAGTTGTGTGCGTGTGTGTGTGTGTTTGGGGTGGGGGTGGGGAAGGAGGGATATTGTGTAGGGGTAGTAGTCCAAGCGGACAGTTTATAACCGAGGAATAGTTGTCCGGGAGTGATACTCCATGTGTCGGCTGTCCTAGAAGCCAGGAATCATAGATATCTTGAAATAAAAATCCGAATCATCTTTATTGTTACTTTTCCAGTATGGGTAGAAGTGCTTGTCTCAGTAAATGTGTATTCCGTCAGTTCTAGCTGAGCCCTTCTTTGCCAATCCGGACATTATTAGGTCACTATTAAACAGTAGTCTGTAGATAGTGTTGGTGACAAGTTTCTTGAAGGTTATGAGCAGTAGAGCACTCATCCATCTATTTCTTAAGACACGTCTAGACATTGATGTGTGAAGTTTTAAGGTTGATATTTAAAATATGGCGAATTCTGAGAACTTGACAGATAAAATAGAAAAAGAAAGGTTAGCATGTTTTCACCTTTGAAGAGAGTGTAAATTCAACCATATTCCTTGGTAATTCTTCCCTCTTGAAATTATTTACACTCTTTGTGAGTTGTATAGTATCGCTTTCTCAGCACTTTATAACCGAGTTTAATCATGTCGCTTACATGTGGATTGTTTTTATTGTCTTATTTTCAGCTATTGTACCCAAACAATTGGATAACTTAAAGTATTAAATTGTGATAAACATTTTCACGTATTAATTAACTTTTTTTTTAATATTGTATATTTTCAGCTGTGGTATCAGAAGCGTTCATCAGTGTTGACATCGTACCTCAGAACAGCACTGGACCAGGCGGCCGAACGTCATGGGATCTGTTTACAAGGGTTACCTGGCAACGACCTGCAGGTGAACTTTGAAATGAATTATTTATCATGACTCATGACTCATGATTCCTCTTTATCAATTTTTCTGTTCAACCACTGAGTTAATATACCAGAATTGGGTAATGGAATGGCATCTTATTTTAAAAAGAAAACCACAAAATCATTTTCAATTTCGCAATTTAAGGGGTACAGGGTGTTACGCCAGATGAGTAATGATTGATAAATAACTTCGACACTCGATAAAGGGAAGAGAATTCTGAAAAGATTTGGATAGTTCGGTAGATACTTATCGTCGGCTTTTGCCTGATGACTTTTGAAACTTTGAATTGATCTGTATACCCTACCATATTTATATATATATATATATATATACCGTGATTCTTTTATTGAAACCATGCATTCTGTTTTGCGAATGCTTTCAACCTTTTAGTCCTTAAAATGTTTCGAACATGATCCACACTTTGGTCATATTGTCAACAAATTAATGATTTAAAAGAAAATGACTTAGACTTTTAAAAAAGATGCTAAAACTTTACCCTCTGTTTATTAAAATTACAATATATTGTTAAAAAGATTATCCTTATTTTCATTGTTTTCCCTTTCGATAAAAATGGTAATGTCTTAAAAAGTGACATTTATTTCCGCTAAAAGATCAACAGAATATTCAAATTTTTCGTTCTAAAATTATTTGATGAAACTCTTTCAATAATTCACATGGATTGATTGGAACTTAACATTACTTGAAATGAATGAATGGTACATCTAAATAGGGAAATACATTTGTATTATTCATTTCTGTTGTCCTTAGGCCTAGAGTATTGATTTTGTGTTGTTATTATATCTGTAAATAAAATTCAATCAAATCAAATCAAAATTAACTTCTAAAACTTTTTTTTTGACATTCCCTTTCCTCAACAGGGTTGGAGCCAGAGGATATGTACGTTTTGAGGTTGACAAGTTTCGATGGAATGATGGGAGGAGAAAGTGTTTTGACCGATCCTTGTCTCGTTGGTAACGAGGAAATCATGGTGGTAAATATTATGTCCGACAATTTCTTTTCTTTTCTCTTCTTCGCCATTTTCTCCATCATCATGTGCTCTTATCGATATTCCTCCATCTTTTAATTTCTTTGTCTCCTCAGCAATTGTCTACATCCATTTTATTATTCATTTATGTTTTTTCGTCAATTACTTTTTCCCGGTTTGCCTGTAACTGTCTTCACTTTGTTTGTCGCTTCTACTATTCTGTCTTTTACAAGATACAAGATATTTTGTTCCATCCTTTCCTCTTTTATTTTATTCTTGTTACTAGTAACTCTTTTCTTGTCGCCATTCCTTTTTGTTTCTCTATCTTTCTTCATTTGTTTCTTGTTATGTTCGTTGTTTTAATCTTTCAGCGAAAATATTTGATTTTGTATGAAATGTTAATCTATTTCAATAAATTCAATTGCGTTACTAACACTAAATGGACAGATTTTGGCAAAATTCGTATTGCAAAATTATTCAAAAGTTTGAATGAGTTAAATTTCTCAACATGTAGGTCAAATGAACTAGAATGATTGTATTTTATCAAGATGTTACAGAAATAAATTATAGATAATTTCTAAAAACAATTTCCTCCAATTTCCTTTCTCACCACATTCAAGTCGAAAGAGGAACATTTCTTCAACAACCTGAGTTTTGGACAACTCTACGAACTTGAGGTAAGAAGTGGAATATTCTAGATAGTCCAGCCTTCAGAGTTGATTTTAGTCAGTTTCAAATACATAACAAATCTTTCGAAATTTCCTATTTGCAAGAACTATCTTAGGGTGCTTTATAACCCACGACACCCATGACCCAACTTTTCCGAGGGGTGACGATACCGAATTTGTGTGTTTAGTGGGCGGTGGGTCTATTTGTAAGAGGAATTTAATTATTGTCAGTGTGAGATGTGCCGTTGAAACTATTCAAACATCGCCTTACATAGATGAAGAATTATGATTTACATAAATAAAGACACAAGACAGTTATTTCCTTCATCCTCGTACACAATTCAGATGAAATGCGAGACACTTTAACCAGATAGCTTGGATAAAGAGATAGGCCTGGATAGATCAATCTGCATCCTCATTCAGCCCTCCCTTCCTCCTAAATATGGAAATGGGCGTTCCACACCGAAAATCTCAAGGATAGTTAGATAATTATAAATAGCACCGAATGACAATTTCAAGTAATATTTTACATTATTCATATAAATTCACTGACAATTCTGGTCAGATAAGTTCAATGAATCATGGATTTCAGGGACTATAACATCACATTTCCCCGAAAACCCCCTCTCCAAACTGTACACAATTTTCAGTTCCAATCCATATAGCATCAAGTCTCTTTAATATAGCCTCTCCTTCGATCATCAAACCCACAAAAAGCGTTAAAAGCGCAACAAAGAACATTATCTCTCTAGGGTTTTCTTTGTATCAACAAAGATATGTTTTAACGCGGGCAATCATTGCAGCATTAATGGTTCCCTATGGGCCTAAGAACGTGTAACCTCTAACGCCTGCGAGGCTGAGCGACTCGTGTCAACATGTCAAAGAACCGTCATTTTTTTTCTTCATTCAGACATCTTCCCGCCATTTTCTGTCATCTTCTGTCATTTTATCGTAACATTTTCTTTACAGTGGTCAAAAGGGGGAGTTCTATTTTATTCTAAGCTTCAAGGTTTCATGCCGAGGGGAACAGGAAGCCTAATTTTTTAAAGCAAAAATTCCAAAGATAGGCCTATAATATTATACAGACATGGGACCATAATATTCCCCATCCTTTCCATGCCTCTAGAAAGTCCAGCTGCCTTAGAGCACTCTCTTCGATTGATTTCAATTGCTTGTGCCAGAATCACATCGTTTTTACTACTTCCGTGATCCTGTTATCTTTGGTTATGATTCATACCATCAACAAAGATTAAATGGGAACATAAAACGAATAAACCTTCCAGCAACCCCCCCCCCCAAAAAAAAGGGCCAAGTTTATGAGTTATCAGTGACGGTATACATTAATGATAGTGACCACGACGTGAGTAGGCAAAGTTGGAATGTTTTACTCAAAGACAAAGGCTAGAAAAGGAAGATGTCAAAATCGATTGTTTCAAAGAATGTGTATGTAAATATTTAGGAGATTTGTCACAAAGACAAATTCTTTTGTTAATCTAAACGAATGATGTGAGAATGAATGTAGGTGGCCCCTTTTTATTGTCACGTGATTAGAATCATGATGTTTATGGGGTCATTTCGATTAGACAAATCGGGCCCTTGTTATTTGAATGTCAGAATTATGCTCACCTCTGAGAACTATTGTACTGGACCATAGCAGGTGCTAGTGGCATAAACAGATGATTACGACTTGATACCGAAGGTCGATAAGGTTCCCCTGGTATTGGGGAGGACGACGACCTCCTCGATGATACGATGATGTCATGAAGAAGAAAAAATGACGTAGAGACGATGAAAAGTGAGAGAGAAAGAGTGAAAGACAGACAGACAAAAAAGGTAGAGAAAGCGTAAGAATAAAAGTGATATAGATTCTTAGATGGATATAACAAAAGCAGAAATTTAGATAAAGAGGGAAAACAGACGGTCAGACAAAAAGAGAAGAGAGAGAGAGAGAGAGAGACAGACAGACAGAGACAGAGAGAGAGAGAGAGAGAGAGAGAGAGAGAGACAGAGAGAGAGACAGAGAGAGAGAGAGAGAAAAAAAAGAGAGAGGGGAGAGGGGTTGTTTGTTTGGGTCTTTGAAATAAATGTTATATAGAGAGAGAGATTTTGAGAGACAGACATACAGATCAACAGAGAGATGGAGACGGGATGGTGTCATTGTGGTAGGGTCCATAATGTCATTGACATTCAGTCAAGACAATGGGGCAACAAAGACAAGCCTCAAATCCAGACATAATTGAAATTGTAAAAGGTTATACACGTACATGAATATGGTTTCACGACCTTTCCTCCATTAAAATGTCAAAATGCGTATCACAGGAGTATCATTATACATACTAAAGGGATGGAAAGGAAGCGTTCAGTTTAGTCTCTACATGGGATTGATAAAGAATAATCCTTACCAGTTTCTCGAAAGGTGTTAGTACGCCATTACAAAAGTCGATTAAAAACTCGTAGAATCCTCGGATTGAGTGATGCCGATAAATACACTTAACAAATGAAATTCACTCCATTTTGACTTCCCGGGGAGTCACATTAGTGATAATTTTAATTTTTCATAGAACTTGATACAAGGGCCTGAATGTCTATTTCATCCCGACATGAATTATTGAATGATCAAAGGCTGGAAGAGGTATAATGAATTGTGAATTCCCCCTGGTATGCCGAATACGCGAACATGATGCTTTTGTAGAGAGCTAGTAATTGTTTTAATTATTGTGCAGTGGTATGTTATGTGGGCTAACCAATTACTGAAAATGAAACCAAGATCAATACTCAATAACATTATATTATAATATGATAGATCAATATTCTGGAATTTGCATTTCAGCTAGATTATGGGCCATTAATGAGCATGAGACTGAGCGGCTCTTGACTGACTGTACATTAAACGTATTTGTATTTATGCTGTTTACGATTGATGAAGTTCTAATTTGTAGGAGCACTCTGTTTCTGTCGGTGCATGCTATTTAAGTTTTGTGGTAGGTATGAACTTTCTTTTTATAATTATTCCCTACTTTTAGATTCATCTTTTCCGTCCTGGAAGACAACATAAATCATTACAGGGAGCTATGAAATCATTCCAGACACCAGGTATGTATTATCAGGGGCGTATCTAGGATTGAGTGGGAAAAGGGGCATGAAATCCCCCACCCAACAAAGCAAAACAAAACAAAAAGCAAATCTACGAAAGCGAAAGAAAAAGAAGGAGAATGTTAAATTAACAATGTCCTTTCTGGGCTTATGAGGGATCCACAAGAACAACATTAAGGGCCCGTTTTGTGAAGGTGTACCATATTGAATATTAAAGTGGGCATGGGACGGTTCCCCCCCCCCCCACAAATACGACAAGGTAGACTCACGGTAGATTTGAGTAAATACCCATCGATAGTTTGGGTTAGCGCCCATTAATGTATCACGTAATTTTACGCGTGAGTCATTTTAAATACAATAATACAAATATGAATAATGATTAGATAACTAGCCCTTTTCTTAGTGATTGTTTGAAAAGTAGCGTCAAACAGAATGAGACTGAATGAATGAGGGAAGAGCAGAGTGAGGGAGAGAGAGAGAGAGGGAGAGAGAGAGAGAGAGATAGAGAGAGAGAGAAAGAGAGAGAGAGAGAGAGAGAGGGAGGGAGGGAGAGAGCAGATGGGGGATTGAGGGAGAGATGGAAGAATGGAGAAGGAAAGAGTGGGGGGGGGGGGAAAAAAATTGGTTACTATAAAAGTTTTAAAGAACTAGAGTCGAAGATACGAAGAGAGGGATTGTGGAAGGAAAACGGATAGACGGAGATGATAGAGGTCTACTAGAGATGGATATGAACGGGGAAGGGTAGGGAAGGGAAAGGGATTATTTTAAGGACATTGAGCTGTGATGATGTTAACTTCCCTCAAGAATGTTTTCAGACATGAGTCTGGCTGAATGATCATGAGTGATTGTGACGAGCCAGACAAGAAAACTCGAACCGAATTTGAATGAATGCATGAAGTCTATCGTATAGCCCTATTTAAAGCCCCATTCTACTATTTATAGCTACTTGCGCCCTCAATATAGCAAACAATGCCTAATCGGTGCCTGTTGGTCCCCCATGATCCCCTTTTCTTATGTTAATTGAGAGCTGATATGATGAGATAACCACCTGTCAGTGACCTCGCAGGGAGGTCTAATCCCCCTGACCAAACTAGTGCAGACGGTCTTTAAAGGATGACGCAGCTCAGGCACGACTGGAGGGATCGAAGAGCACTTCGTTCTAATGGTCAATGGAGTATCCCAACCTCATCTTTATATTGGGTCCGGGAAAATGACACAAATCGTTTACCTCTCTGATACCTAAGTCATTTGTCACGTCATGAGATGGGGAGGGAGAGGGATCCCTCAAGGCTAAGGTATTAGGTCAATTGCGTTATACTGCGCTCCTATCGTTACGTGTAAAGATGTCAATCAAGTGCAATTATCATTTAGTGTTTTTTTTTAATTTTGTATATAACACTGTGTTTGATTTAAAGGATGAGTCTTTGGATTTGATTACGACCGTTTTTTGCGGTCTATCTTCACCCCTCCTCAACAAAAATACAGTGATAAAAATACTGAAATCTTGGCTCGGGTAAAGGTATGTTGAAAGGAGGGAGGGACCCTAAAACCATGGCATATGACCATGATGACGGGAGATTCTGACAGAATAAACGACAAGAAAATCTTTGAGAATTGTCATGAAGATCATTGCAAGAATGCAAGGACATTCCATAATTACTTCCGCCCCCCCCCTTTACCATAGAGATCACATAATGATGATCATTGCATCCGTTAGATTAGGCAATTTCATACCGAGATAACTAGAGATTGCTAAAAGAGTCGGCAGCGGAAGAGCATTTAAATCTCCAAAAGAATATTCTCATAATATTCAACTTCTACCGTAAACTTGGTTGAAACATCCTTTTCCTTATAAAAGCAAAAATAATGCACCTACCCTGATCGTTTTTCAAATGCGTAAATATATATTTTTTTCTATTTCCTCTTTATTTGTATAATATTGCCTAGAAAATTGGATTATATTTTCAATTTTCCCAGGAAAATGGAAAATAGAAGAATTTGTTAACTGAGGATTTGGAACAAAAGATAGATGGAAAATTTTAATCAGGGTTGAATATACATTTTCTGTCCTGTTCCCCCCCCCCCCCAACGCTATTTTTTGACTAGTTTCAAACTACTTTATTTTGTATAGGATATTTCCAGTTAAATACCCTCCCAGTCATCATTTTTAAGGATCGTATTCTGTATCTTTGAACGAATATAATACATTTCCAATTCTTTCTGCCTTTCTCTGTCCATCCCACTCGCTATTTTCTTCATCTGTATCTTGTTCATATTAGAGTGCCTACAGGTCACAGGCGATATGGACTACTGCATGAATCGAGGTAAGCATAATGATATTTGGAGAGAACAAAATCAAGTTTAATAAAAAATATACTTTTATTTCAGGCTTTTCTTTGCCCAATATAAATGATTTTATTTTTATTTTTATTTTTTTATACTTCTCTCCCCCTTTAGAACGATACATTTTTACGACCTGCACAAAATATCATTGTTTTACATTTATCATTTTAATGAATAGTCTTTTGCATCTTCCTGATATAGAATATTTATATATGTTATGTAATTATGTATTATATTTATCTATTATATCATCAGCTAATGAGCAGAGCCTTCTTTAGTTGGTCTTTGGTATTGTTGTACTACTTTATGTTCCAGGAAATGAAATAAAATCAATTAATAAATTAGTGATACACTTCAATTTTCAACTTCTCGTAATTTTGTGAATACTTATTTATTTAAAACGTCCAGTGAGAATTAAAAGAGAAACTTCACTGAAAGGTAACTGAAAATCGTAAAATCATCCACAAGATTGAGTTCTGATATGGCATTGGGTACACACACCAAGCATTTAAAAATGAATTACGACCCTTTTAAGAACGTAATAAAAGTCAATGTAAAATCAGTATTGGTCTTAAACGTCAATTCTAGGTTGTTTATTTTGTTGTACGTAACGTTTTATACGGCCATCACAGTTCGGTGCTTTATGGGTTGATATTTATTTCCTTGGATTTTGATTTACACAATGATGCCTTGTTCGAACTGGACACGGACTTAATTATTCTCCTTTTTACTTTCTGTCTATTTTTCTGACAGTCATCGTTCAGTACTCTGGCGCCCCCATCGACCCTCATGTGAACAGTCTTTGCCGCAACAGTTCGACGAATCTCCTACAAGTATCTGTATCATGGCTTCCACCATTCCAAGTCAATGGAAACATCTTCCTGTACTCCATAGACTTCGGTATAGTGGTGACCCCTGCCCCGGATGTAGTTGTGGAACCTCCTTCGATGTCATTTCAAACATTGAACATTTTCATGCCTGTTCTGTCGAATGAGACAAATCAGACGGTGAGATAACGAAAAAATAAAATACTTTCTCTCAATCATATACTTTTGTCATAACAAAAAGTTCATAATCGGTATTGTACACGCACACTTACACAAGAACACACATTAACAATATTTTGAAATCAAGAGGTATTAAAACTCCAATAAATATGAATAGATGACAGATCAGGTAAACATGTACATTGTCAGTCGTCACTATTAAGAGTGTGATAACCTTTGAAGTTATGCTGAAGAAAAAAATTCTCACAACTCTGAAATTGATTAACATTTTGAATGGCTTTAGAATGGTTTTAAAGTACGAGTTAATCTTCAGAATACTAAATCGTACCATCATGTCTTTATATAAATGTTAATGACAGTGGTTACCATTACGAGAAAAAGATGAATGATAGCTTTGCCCCATTTGTGATGTTTAAATGAGAGAGATTTATTAAGAATGTGACCAACCTTTATTCATTTTTTTCAGGACTTCCGAATTTCAACAACACTTCAGGGTCTCGAAGAAGGGCAGCTTTACTACGTCAAGGTAAGTAACAGTAATTAAAATCTTGTGGCAGTTATAGGGGCGGCACCAAAGGCCAGGGAAGGGGGAGCGGAGTTGGTGGCTTATTTTGCACTTTCACAATGTCTGTCGGCAAAGTGGTAAATACAAGAATTTTTAAAAAATCCTCTTTGGCAAAATCAGGAATTAGAGGCAGTTTTAAATTGATGTCAGCAGGTTAAAATTTGAATCATTTTTTTGTTGTTCTTGACGGTCAATTTAAAAATCAAGACGTTTTCGTCTCAAACCTGCGTCGTCTCTGTTTCCCTCTCAACCCTTCAAGTATATTTTACCGAAAAACAAACAAACTAACAAAATGACGATTGGGTCACTTTTTGTGACATTCGAATGATATTGTCCAACGTTTCTTGAGGTTTGTGCTTTGGCTTTATAGTTCGTTATAAAAAGAAACTATTATGCTTTCTTCCTCAGATAACACCCGTTGTCGACTCGCTGGTCGATGGCGGTAAATACCCCGGTGATGAGGTAGAACTGACGTTCGTTACCGCTAACTGGACAGACCCAATGGGCGAGACCACGGGTGAGTCATTTAGCCTACCAGGACCGGGGGCAGGGGTTGTTAAAGATTTTTTTTTTGTTGTTGAAATTTTCATAATAAGGAGTAACCTATTATGGGGACAATGTTGGTCATATTTTTAATTACAATTGCGAAAAGGGCAACTCTTTGGTTAAAAATCGACATAATATTTGATATTCTGTACAATTGAACCTATATGTTTCTCATCTCATCTTCTCGATGTTATTCTTCTGTATCGTGTGAAAGTTGTTTGATGAAAAGTCCTGCAGGAAGATTTAGGGGAAAATATTTTAGTTACACTTGTCAAATTTTCCAGTCATACACTTCCGATGTCTTTCTCTTGCTTTCCTAGAAATAAACCTTGTGACCCCACTGTGCGAGATCCTAGACGACCCGACGATTGTACCAACTGAAAATGATACATTCACAGACAACACTACGACAGAGATAGAGACGATGACCTCGTCATTACCGTCATCAACGATCACGGGCGACACGACGATGATGTGGACAGCAACCACACCAGCCAGACTTCCACCGACGCCGATGGAGCCGGCGCACATCGCTCTCATCGTCATTTTCTCGATACTCATCATCCTCGTCATCGTCGTGTTCATCGTGATCACGGTCCGGATGGCGAAGACTGGTCACGTGACCAAGTTACCACAGCTCTCACAAATACCAACCATGTGCAAAAAGCAGAACCATTCGGACGGAAGTCAGAAGAAAAAAGACTTGAGTATGACAGAGAAAGGCGTGAAAATAGTCAACGAGAAAAAGCCGGAGAAAAAGACAAGCAAACCGAACGGAACTGCGAAGTCACAAAAATAGCGATTGAGCGTGTCTACAAGAACTATGTGACCAAGTGAACTTGATGAGACACTTTTCTGAATCACGATGAAAACATTATCCATGGATCAAAACATGCATGTCAAAGAAACTGAATAGAACGACTATGCAAGATCTATGTCTACCTGGATAATGTATGACACTTGTTGAATCGTGATGAACACTTATTTGTGTGACGATGAACATAGATTGTCACGTTCTTGATATTTGATAAATCATCTTTTTGAGATTCTTGTTCATGTCTTCCTACTCTTGTTGAGGGCATATTCTTATCAGGAATATACAAAATGTACACGTATAATTAACACCTTGTGACTTACAATCAACGTCAAAACTGAATGTTTAAATTGTCGTTGAGGGGGCGTGTACCCGGAGTGCAAAATGTATAACATGCGTGCTTCCTTACAGTTTATGGATAAAAGTTTATAGGGGCGCGGGAAAATCCTCTATGTGCAAGGGAATACCTCCTCCCCCTTAGTTGAAAGAAAGATGTTTAATCATGAAGAAGCATTTGATTTATTTCATGCACTGTTGAGACTTCCTTAAAAAGATTAAATAAATAGATTACCAGATTACTTAAAGGGATCGTTTAACAACGTTAAATCTGAGATGCATGGCCCTACGTGTTATCATCAGTGTCTGTGACATAATTCAATATTGAAGAAAAAAATTACGCTTCAAAATGATCAAGAAGTGCCTCAAAAAAGTAAAAATATTTGAGTGACCGGTTTTTACCATACTCGTTTTCCCCAATAGACTGTAGTGTTATGAAAACCGTTAGGCAAACGCAATATTTGGTTTCGATTTCCAATCATAAATATCTTGATAATCAGACAGGCGATCGGCTTGTAAAAGTCACGGGGTTTCCTGACTGACCTAAAGGTTTATAAATATCATTGCAGCATGGGCTAAATCATGTCCATGGCTAAATCCAGGATTTTGTTTCAAAATCTGAGACAAAGTTACCGGATCCATTTAATGACCGCCCACCTATATCTGACCGCTGTCCCCCTCTCTCTCCCCCTCACATTTCCGAATCTCTTTTCTTTTTTTTCTCTCTCTCTCTCTCTCCTATTCTCGCTCTTTAATCTCTCTTTCCCATCTCCTTTTCTCTTTCTCTCTGTCCCACACACACACACACACACACACACACACACCACGCACATACTCTACCTTCATTTCTCTTTTCCCTTCATTTCTCTGTGTACATCATTATCTCTATACATCGCACTAAAATAATACGTTCGCAATGAAAAAAATCAGAAGGAACTTTACAAGTGGGAGGAAGAGATTAAATTGACAATCCTGAATATTACTGTCAACATTGCTTTGCTACAAATAAAACTATATGATAGCCAACAGAATCACACATGTTTGTATTACAATATTTAATTAGCATTTAATTCGTATATAAAATAGCGATAACTGTACAATTGTAAATATGTGAAACATTATTTACGTTATTTCTTCAATCTTTCAGCTTTGTCAGTTTTTGTATTCGTAGATCTTATTTATGACTTTTTGTAGACGCCTTTGAGAAATGAGAATGTAAATAATTTTTATGTGCAACAAAAAGAGGGATTCTTATCTTAAATCATTTGTATCGAATGGACATTATACGGTCACATGACAGTGCCTTCACGAGCAATATCATATTATTGTCCATAACTTTTTAAAGATTTCTACTATCACGTAGCTTCGCAACAGTGATGCACTTACTCGTATACGGGGTTTGTTTATTGCAAAGATGAATTAAATTAGACGCGATGATTCTCGATATACTTGCAACTTATGAAAGAAATCCTGCGTCTGAATGAATTGTTACGAACATTCGTTTCTCATAACCTAGTACTCTCTTCTCTGTGTAACACAACAGCGTATAAAGCCCACCGCACGCTATGCGATTTTCCCGCGATCCGCTTTTCGAATAGATATCAATATCCATTTAGAAATCTTAATAAACGTCGTTTTCCTTATAAATTCACAATTATAGGTTCTAAATAATAATGAGAATACCAACATCCGAAATTTCGGTGCATTTAAAACACCTGGTCTGAATAATAGCCGAATCGGCCTCAGATCGTAGACAATCGCATTACTGATATGACGTCACTACAATTCGGAGCCGATCTAGCTATTCCTGAAAAAGGAAGCCTGAAATCCATTGAAATATAATTTTGTATTAATCATTATGACTATTCAAATCATCGATTATTAAGATTGTAGAGGTATGAAGGTTCATAACAAATGCTTTTGCAAAGTCCTCCAAACTTGCGGATCGTAGTGAGATCGTAAAGTGTGCGGTGCTGGGCTTTATGCATAGAACACACGATTGCGAAGGCTTTCGGAAAACCAACTCAAGTGCAATTGCAATGCCATATTGCATATCCCACATAAATCATGTTCGGATTACGTAATACCTCATTGTCATGTCCGCACATTTCAATATGTGTTGGACAAGGGTATTGAAATTACCTTAGGTTGCTTTTACGCCAATCTTTTCGATGTGTTCGGATACCTCATTTTTGTAATTATGGACTCTTGCAAGCATGAAGATACAAATATATTCACCATGTTCATGCATTTTATATTTTGGAAAGTAAATCGGGACCCCGTCTTAAAAGGAGTTGATATCAATCGCAACTTATTTGCGATTGATATCAATCGCAACTACTACATAAGAGACAGGAGACTGCAAACTTACGATTGATCGGAGGACTTACGATTGATTTGGATCAATCGTTACTCTTTGTAAGACGGGGCCCAGATTATTATGCCCTCAACATCTTACCATTACACTGATTATAGACAATGCTACTATTGTAAGTAAAATGATTTGTTTGATGGATTTGTATTTTTAAAAGTACATCACGAATTCGTCTACACTGGCTTGGAAGTATTTCGATTGTGGCTACAGGTATTATGTGATGACCACAATACGTAATTATCATATTGTATGTAGTTTTATGATTAAGATTAAAATGACTTGAACACTGTTTTTCTGCAAAAGGGTTCGTTTCATTTATTTTGTTTGAGTACTCTGAATTACCAAATAAATTTAAAGCAGCATTGATCACGCACGGGTTTTCATAACATAGATCCCGTTATAATTTTGAATCATAGATCTAGTATTCTAGTAAGTCTATATGGTGAACAAGGTTAATGATTTGGGTTTATTCCAGACAAAGTTATCTTTGCTTATTCAAAAATTGAATAAGTTCGAGCGATAACAAATGTCAAATGAGAGTGAAATACTTCAAAATGCTATATTTTATCCCACATTATCACCTCGATTGTCCCCCTTTTCGTGTTTTATTATAATTTACTAAATAATTTCCAGGAAAAGAAACATCGGAAATGGCTTTCAACCAATGAGGCATCACTCCACTACTTTTTACTAAAATATCAAAATAGTTCTTGAAAATGAGAACATTATCTACTGTAATTGTTGTGGTCATAGTCTTGCTTTCATTCAATCATATACTGGCAGAGCAATGCTTTAATAGTTTGTTATCATAATAAGGCAATTCTTCACTGCAAACGATGTATTAGTGAGGTTTAGTAGTAATTATGATTATGGGCAATTCCACATGATAATAGTCGATAACACTTTATAAGAGTCCGGTTGTTTTAACTGACACGATTGTTTCGAATTCTTATGATTTTCTTCTTTTTTTTTTGCACAAAAATCTTCATCACATGAAGTAAAAACCAAACTGTAAATAACTTAATGGACTGAAATGTTAGGAATGCAATTTTTTTGTTTGTTGCAAGTTTAAACGTATGAGGCCCATTCTGCGGCCCAAACTAACGTTACTAATATCGCGATGTTACAGTGGAAGTTGTTCAGCAACTTTCATCGTGACATCGGGAAGATAGTAAAATCGCGATGTTTGGACAGAAGTGAGAATGGGCCTCTGATTAGGACGTTGGTGCCGCGACCACGGTGGCGGTGATTCGAACCACGCATGATACTTTGTGATCCTCAATCCGGTGACTAAACCACTAGATCACATCACCTCTCAGGGATGTGTAATTTCGTTAGCACCTTTGCCAGTGGAATTGCCCATTATGAGAACTCGCCACACTGAGTACAAGTTGTATTTTAGTTAGATGAACCAATAATCGGATAACTATAAACAGTTAACTATCTACAAGAAACGTGGACTCTACCAAACCAAGCCAAGAATACTTTGATTATGGACTGCTAGCAATGAGCTAGTAAATACAAACAACTATTTACTACCCCATTGCATGAAATTCCATTAAATTGGTACGGATTTGAAAGCTGGAAGCGCACTGGTTTATAAAAATGGAGAATGCTTATAAAAAAAATAAACTCAAAGTATCATAGAAAGGCTGTATTATAGTAAGTGCTATTCAAATCAATTGGACGAAATTCATCACCTTGTCTACTTTTTCCAGCCGAGACGTTTTACAGCCTTGAAGCTTAGAAAGCAACATTGCCTATAATTTATGCAATGTAAAAATTTGATTCATAGTGTATTATCAAATCAAATTTATGCAGAGTCAGTTATAAACATGATAAATGTTGCTAGGAAGGGTGTAAAATAAACTTGATTCTTTTGTCAATGAAATGCTACAGGTGCTTTAATGTCAATGCAAATTGTTCTTGTGCCTTCACTAGAATTTTATAGAGAAGAATACGTTATTTAATTTGTTCATGCTAAACAAAAAGACTTGCCATTGTTGTCGTAAGTCGAAGAGTTTGATAGACAGCATAGACTGTTATCAAGAACTACTATTTATGCCAGCCCAATAGTTGTCCACGACTTTGGAACACAAATGGTTATCTTTCTTCTGACACTGTCTTTCAGCTGCTTTATTTTCATCCGTCATAGTTGTCAAATAACAGAAGCTACATAATTAATGTGAAAATGTCCAATCCTCGAATACATTGGGACCTTTAAAGATGACACTTTTCAGGGCTGTCCAATTTTTAAGAACATAGATCTGAAAAGGTGTATAGTTTTAAAACATCAATTGGAACATCAATTGGAACTCTTATTACCACTCTATTCTGAAGGAAGAATTGTATTATTTGGAAGATGAAGTACTGAAAGCTAATCTTGGGCTTGGTTTGGTAAGTCACCGTCAGACGAGCGTCGATAGATTACTGACACTCATTGGATCGAGAGCGGTATCGCCACTATCTGTCGCATGATTCGAATAGGCGAATCGGTGTCCATCATTGTCCGTGTGATGGTTGTTGTGATTTGAATACTGCTGGCGTTGGTTGCTATGGAAAGGTCCTCCGTTCATGCCGGTAAAGACACCCGGTGGCGGGGCGTGCCGCTTGTTGATCAACGACTGTTCACGTTGCCATAGATGTACGTTGTGCCCAAAACTGAAGATCATGAAGAGGATGGCCAACCCGATGAGGGCGCTAGACACGGTGGCGGGTATCGTTCGGAACTCGAGGAGAATGTAAAGTATAAGAGCTGTGTCAGAAGAAAAACACATACAGGATAAGAAATATTATATTGAATCTGAATTGCATATAACGTTGGAAAATGTTGAATCATTAAGAGTTGAAATCTTATTCTAATCTCCCAGCCCGAAGACAACAGTTTAACTCCAAAAACGCAAGCATAATATCTCATGACTCAGCCTTGCAACATACGTGATAAAGAAAACTGGGTTGACAGTTTACCACATTCGCTTTGGGTTATTTAATCCAGTATTTGGGGCAGATATGAATTACCAATCAATGTGATAACACTCAGATACTTTTTTTCTTCTTTTTTCCAAATAATTTGTTGTATTCAATCATTCTTGAGCAAGAACAAAACAATAGATTTGAACAAAGTACATGTTGTGACATATCAGTAAAATAAACATTGTTACATCAGTTGCTGTTACGGATGGTGTCCTCTACCCGATGTCCCCAGGTCCTTCGTTCACAACAACAGATTACACAACACACAAAGTGGTGATTTCAGGAACCGATCTTATTCATTTCGAGCTTCGTTCTTAAATACCAACACTAAACTAACTCATCCACGGGACGGTTCGAACAGTGTATCTAGAATCGGTCGATACACCCATCACAGTTGCACATGCCATTTATCTAGTAATACAAAGAATGTATTGCGTTTGATAGACAGAACCCGCTCAGATACTTACCGACAAGAAAGATTGGTATGGATACGAAGAACGAACAGACAGCGAGGAACCGTGAGCCAGAGGTATTCTTTAGAAAGTCACATGATCTGTCAGAATGACACAGGAAGCAAGACACATCAAAATAATATCCATCATGACTAGGTTTAACAAGAAAATAATTTTTAAATCCATTAGGAAGAATAAATACAATACACATGTGGACACAATCGGATGCATGTTCGTCTACAATGAAAGTAATGTATTTGAAAGTTTCATTACTAGTTTCAACAGTAAAAGAAACATATTATCCTACATTCCAATCCATGTACCCTAGATAACATGAAAGAGAGAAAAGGTAAGAGAAAGAATAAGACACTGAAAGGCATAGGGGTGTGAGAATGTAGAGAATGGCCTATAGCAGTGATTATACAAGAATGTGACCTCTCAATATCACAAGCAGTATTTGCAATTCATATGGAGTCTACTTCAAACTAAGAACAGTTACCTTTCTTCTCCTTGAGGTAGCTTTAACATTTTCGCCGTGAAATAGCTCTGTCCCGTGCAGACGACCACACAACATAAGTTCAGCATGAGGCAGAAGCTCACAAGGACCACACCCGAGTCTAAAATATCTGAATACCATCTGGTACCAGTCACTCCCTCTACGGCTCCATCAGTCAATATCTGGCTCTGCATTGAGTTAAACTGAATAAGTAAGACGATAGATAGAGATGTAATGATGATGGCTATCAGCGCTAGGATACCCATAGATGTGAGAGACTTCTCCACGCCGAATTCTTTACTTGTAAGCGTTGCGCGGGAGAGGCTGAGGCTGTGTGGTTTGTGCATGATTGTGAGGTCTTCTGTAGCGCTGGCAAGGCGCGAAGAACGTCCTTGGAGGACGCTCCCAACGCCGTTGACGCCGTTGATGCCATTATTCGTTTGACTGACGGATCTGTGGATGGTGGCGTGGCTGACGTGACTTGCCTGCGAGATCGGCGATGACGGCGGCAGCTCCATCATGAGTTCGACGTCGTTGCTGTTGTTTCCGCCGCTGTTGCTGATGTTGTTACTGCCGTTGTGGTTGTTGATGGCCTTCGGGCCGTCGAAAGTGTTTGGTGGCTGATTCATGTCGCTGAAGTGGTTGGAGTGGTTGCTGTGGTATTGATGGTGGTTGTGGTAGTGTTGGTTGTTGGTGTGGGTGTGGGTTGGACGTCTAGGGTGCATGTGATAGTGCTGACTAAGGTGCTGGCGGGGTAAATTAGCGAATTTGCTGATCATTTGGATGATCTTTCAGTAGCTCTTGGAGAATCTAAGTCGACAATCCTCCTCAGTTTCAGCAACATCAATCACGTTTTGCCTATCCACAGGGAAGCCAATATATAACACACTACAAAAATTGAAATGTACGTCAGCGAATGATCAGTGTCCTGTACACCATTAAAAGAAGACAAAATTCATTCCATCTGATGTTTATGATGCGTTGTCAGAATATCATCCTCAATCGTATTCGCTAGCTCATCTCGGCCTTAGGAACTTGATGATATGAAAGGACGCCATCTCGAGTTCTTAAAAGCAGCACACGATCGTGGAAAACATCCATCTATGAGTCAACGGATAGGACGTACATTGGCTGCACCCTAGAAGGAACCTGCAAATAAAAGAATACAAATAATAGATCGGTAAACGAAATAGTAGAAGTGTGTAAAACATATCAGCATTGTGTCCTACCTACCGTCACCCGATGTATTAAGTTCATTTTCTTTTCACGTCAAAAGTAAAATTACATACCAGTATAGAAAGTAATGAAATAGAACAAGACATCCCATTCAAAGGCATTTTGACGTTTGTTTGTTAACGATTATCTTGAGTTACCTGTTCATGTTGTATCATAAATTTAATCAAAGAGATAAGTCAGTAACACAAATTGGTTTATAATTATTTGAATATTATCAAAAACAAAACAATGTACCGGTAACTAAATACTTCATAGCATAATTTGTTTTTACATGACATCAAATTAACTTAGATAATTATAGTTGCAGTAAGAAAATTTGTATTGAATTGAACATATATCATTAAGTTTTAATACTTTTCCTAAAAAAACAAGTGATTTGCATTATTCAACACCTGGCATTATATTGTATAAGTGCTATTCAAGCCCCTTACACATCTAACAGATGCATTAACCCATATGGCCATTATCGACATTAGACAAATAACAATATAAGGTACTCTGCATCACGTCGAGATCACATTATAAACTACATGTATATGAGTGTGAGAACATCATCGCCACAAATATATGAACCACTAAGTCCTGTATTGAAAATCATATTTTATGAAGTGTGGAATTTGGATTTTATTGAAGAAAATCATTATCCATGAAATATAATGTATACAGGTTTCGTCCGGTGAAGAATGCTTAGCCGGAAATGTTGAAATTCACGGTCTATTTAACGTTCGTGAGCCCGACAAGTTAACTGTCTTTCAAACCACAAAATAATTGTATGGCAATCTACGGACTACGGGTAACATAATTATATTACACTGTATACCACTGCGATTCTCTCGTCGATCCAAAGTAAGCATTTTAGGTGTGGTTGAAACCAGTACCTGGGATATAAATTATTTAGAGCGCAACTAAACATGCACTGTATAAATATACATCATGGGAAATATAAGAGAACACTAGATTAACTGTTGTTATCTCAGTAATCAAATGAAAAGTATCAACTTCGCAAGTTTGCATGCACCTGTTTCAAAACAGAAGTGCAAATAAACATGATGATTTGATTGGGCGTGACCTGTATGTATCTAACGTCACTCGGTAGCCATGGTAACCCATCCTACATCGAAAGTTTGTCAGTGATCTTGATTTAAAAAATCGAGCTTCTCAAAAGACCAACTCCGGAATAACGAATTGCTACTTTACACGATGAATATTACAAATTTGCGGTTAACTTTAATATCATGCACATCAAAATGAAATATTCTATTCATGTTCCTTTGAACAGAAGTAAATTGCTGGTTTTAAATCATCACCTTTATCATCTAATCAACATCGAATATGCACATTCTATTTTTTCTTCTTTAAGCGGAATTCATAGTGAAATCAAGGAAAATTATCTCATTTTAACCCTGAAACAAAATCATGATAAAGCAAATTCTGATATATCAAAATTAAGACGGACTTCCATCTCCTCTCAGCAGCACAAGTCAAGTCAAGTCGACTGTCAGAAGAATCAAACAACCACAAATAATGTCCTAGACCTAGACCATGGACCTACTAAAATGCCTAGACCATGCCCAACAAGGACCTGTCGATTACCCTTCACGGTACCAGCGGCGTTATTGATTCTTAAAATGTACTGCACATGCCATTATTACTCTTCATCACTGAGTGATGCTGGCTTCGTGAACACAATCATGGTCATTGGCGCTAAATGGTCTTTAAAGTGAACGATTGTCCTATTATGATGGTTCATTGCGGATGGAATGCAATTAACTTTTCTTTTGTGGCATAAAGAGAAAAATCAATATTCCAGGGAACAAATGACACAATTTGTAGAGGACTCTTTCTGTAGAATGGACCATGGACCCTACCACAGGTAGAGACCATGAATGGACCTACCACGCTTCTAGACATTTATAGGGAGAACTATTGTACATGACAAGAGGGTCAGAAACCGGTGGTATATAGGGCATGAAGGTCGCGTGCCCCTAATAAAAATACGGGAAGGGGCGGAGGAGAGAAAAAAAGGAGAAGAGAAGAGGGGAGGGGGAGCGAGAAAGAGGGGGGGAGAGAGAGGGGGAGAGAGAAAGAAAGAGAGGGGGAGAGAGAAAGAGAGAGAGAGGGGGAGAGAGAAAGAGAGAGAGAGAGAGAGAGAGAGAGAGAGAGAAGGGTGTCAGATTGGGGAGGGAGGGGGTTTAAACAGAACATCATATACATGAACGGCAGCCGAATAAACGCCCTCCCACATTCGTTGCCAATTCGTTCACCGAGTCAGATCAGCGCCCACCTTACATAAATGTGTCACAGTTAGAAGTGATTACATTGGGCAGTTTGTTCAGAAAAATCTTGAAAACGTCAAATGAAAATATCATGTGCTTTATCTTTCAGACCTTGTAAACTTTGTGTCGGATTATGTAGGCATTATGGGGGGGGGGGCGCCCCTCTTTTTTTATTTATAAAAACAATACCGTGTGGAATGGCAAGAAAGGAAACAAAGTTGGTGCAAAGCAACAGAGTCGGGTCACAAAGATCGGTAACAATTGATTCCATATCATCATGAGAATATTACTACCATGAAAAACAACACCATCAAAAAATTGATTCAATGGAAATGCCCCCGAGTATTTAATGGCCTAACTTCATTTCATGACGGTATGTTATTTTGAGTTTTCAATTTCACCCCCATCGGGTTAGTAGTCAAACCAGTTTGGAGCGTTCCCTGCATGCTCGAGAACAGCTGTTGATAAGTATGAAATCATGGATTTATATGACAGGAGTGATAGCTCACGTATAGTGGAGTGGGAATCATAATGTAATGACCATGGAATATTATATTTTTCTGAACAGCCTGTACATCTCAATATGGAGTGACGGATTTCTATTACAACGTGGGATGATCACTTCAGGAAATATGCAGTATGTTATTCCACTCTTGGCCACTAAGGAAAGTTAAGTAATCATCTAAAGATTTCAACAAATATCTTCGATGGAATAAGAATGCACCCTCTCTTTCTATCTGTGTCTGTCCCTGTCGATCTGTGTCTCTCCCACTTCTCTCTTTCTCTTTTTCTCTCTCACACTCTCTTGGAACCCCTTTCTCTCCTATAACCCCTCTACCATTCTCTCATCATCACGATATTCTGCTAATCCACTAGTCCCTGCAAAAATGTATAATTGCTATATACTTTTATTGATCAATGAGAGGTATGACCGATCCCAGTACCATCCACTCTAATACTTGTACTTACGGACGCTCCCTCCAAGCAAGCCAATGATAGACAGACATTATGCACCTCACGTACGGATCATGATATCAAGTGCTAATATCAATACCGCCCATGCCTGAGTATGAAGACGAATTCTCTAAAATAAATGCATTATGCACTACCCATCTCCCGACTAGGGCTCCCCCACCCCAAAGCCCTTAATATACATTAAGGGCTGTGCCCCACCCCCTCCACGTCCGCCCTCCGCCGGACAGAGACAAGTATTCCCCTAACATTTTTTTCATGGAAATGGGTTCAAACTGTTATTGCCTTAGCGCCTCTGGTCTTTGCTGTTATTAGTTAGTTTCGTAGCTCCTAGTCCTCCCTCCTCAACTTCTTTTTATAATTTAAGAATGTAAAAAGAGAAAAAGAATGAAAGAAAGAGGGAGATAGAGGGAAGGGGGCATACTAGTCTAGAATGAATATAATGAGGGGGAAGGGAAAAGACAGTGACACCAAAGAGTTACTTGTAGTATCTCTTTGGTGATATAAAGAAAGAGATAAGTAGAGACGAAATATGTAAATAAGGACGAACGGAGAGAATGGAAGAGAAAGAGAAAGAGAGAGAGAGAGAGAGAGAGAGAGAGAGAGAGAGAGAGAATATATATATATATATATGAAGAGACAGTTGAAAGAAAGAGACAGAAAAATAGATGAGAAAGAGGGTATGATAGGTATATAAAGATAGTGAGAGAGTGTGTGTGTGTGTGTGTGTGTGAGAGAGAGAGAGAGAGAGAGGGATACAGAGAGAGAGAGAGAGAGAGACATAGACAGAGAGAGAGAGAGAGAGAGAGACAGACAGGCAGAGACAGAGAGAGAGAGAGAGAGAGAGATACAGAGAGAGAGATACAGAGAGAGAGAGAGACAGAGAGAGAGACAGAGAGAGAGAGAGAGAGAGAGAGAGAGAGACAGAGAGAGAGAGGGAGAATGTTCTCACGATGTACGATGACATTGTGGTTATTTTTTCAAGTTCACCAGCGTTACGATCATGTGAATCTATTCAATTTATAAATCTTATACACCTTATCCCCATGCAAAGATAGTGAATACAGTTAATACTTGGCAAAATACTTTCATGATCGTCTTTGGTCCGGAACTGAGAAATAAGAATACTCTATTCTCGACTGTTTTATGGTTTGTTAGTTTAGCTTTGTCCTCAATTTCATGGGAAGTTTGACCAAATTTGTTTGAAAAGAATCACGATTCTATATGCTACGTACCGTGGCGTGAATACACACAATATACACTCCGCGAATGAAACGCAATAGACAGGTGCATAATCTTGCTAGCAATACAAATCACATGGTTACATCATTCAATAGAATATGAATATTATCAAAAATGTACCGAGCTAATTCGATTATTTCAGATGAAGCTTAGACCACTTATTTACAAACAAATTATATAGTGGAATGATTAATAATGAATAATAAATGAGTACAGTTTTGAAAGGAAAAGAATTAATTCATTTTCATGCTTACCCAGCAAACTATGACAACTTTGAATAAGTAATAAAAATTAAGCTCTCCAAATACGTATAAAACATGAAATTGAATTCAGATGAAATTCACAAACATTCAGATTTTAATAATATAATCATTATATCGGCTATATTGTTTCGAATGCAGGATACTTTCGTCGCATGAACTG